CTCACAGAGATCCGCCTGCCTCTGCCTCCCAAGTTCTGGGACTAAAGGCGTGCGCCACATGGCATTTTAAGGAAGAATTCTCTTTCATTTTTAACTCTTGTCTGTGTGAACAGTTTTACAGGTCTGCAGTTATATATAAGAATTTTTTTCACTCAAGAGAATACCACTTTTTATTTCTAAAAGAGTTATGTGAGAGTTATAGAATATTTCTGTAAGCCTATGATATTAATCATTCTCTGGGTCAAATAAGGGTAGTTAGGACGTGTGTCTCTAAAGGCAGGTTCTTCCGTGATCTTGAAAAGTCAAGGACTACAGTTACTGGTCAATGAAGAGAAAAGCACATGAAAGGCAAAAGTAAATATTTTTTTCTTCTTCAGATGCTCATACAGATGGCTCATAGCTGGCAAAGTTAACAATCTCTGGATGGGGGAGATTTTAAAGAAATCTACAAATGTCACTATCATTTGGCAGAGTTTCTCCTTTTACTTTGTGCTTCTGGAATTTATCAGGCTACAAGGGACATGACAGGAAAAGGCCAGCTCTCTGGATATGAAGAGGAAGCTAGCTCCCTCTGCACAGGGTATTCATGACTACACTTGGTATGCAGTCAGACCTTGGCATCATAGCCATAGTGCTGAACCAGAAACCTACCGTGGCCCTCAATTCTACTTGCTTGCACTTTGGCTCGTCTACTCGGATCCTAGAGACTGTTCTGAGAGTTTGGGGCTGAAAGCCCTACCTTCTCAGCAGGGGTCTGCTCGGCATAAACATGTCTCAATGTCACCTGTTCCTCACCATGGAGCTGGGCTCTTTGTCCATTTCAAAGCAATACCTGGGTGCCTGGTCACTCATCTAGTTGGGAATGGATGCAGTAGCTCCATCTCCTTTCCCTCCTCATCTTCCTCATATCTCTTCTATTTCAGACTAGTCTGAAATATGAGTGAATGGCCAGTGTTGGAAAGTGAGAAGGGGAGGCCAGGAAACAGGATTAGTCCTTTTTCTCTACCAGTGTGAGAATCTGTGGCGGTTTTGTATCTGTTTTCTGAGGTGGATCTTCCCAGTGATAGCTGACATTGCACAATTTACTTCTGACCTAGCTCCTAGAACAAGGCCTGTTCCCCAAATAGATGCTGCCTGGCACCTCTGCCCCAGGGTTGGCTCTGCTGTAATCATTGCGGTGGCTGTGCAAGGGTACACACAAGGGTTGTGTTGCTTCCTGAGCTTTGCTTGAGCTATTGTGTGAGCAGAACACTTGGCTTATCAGCACAAAGGCTAAGTATCCCTGTGCACCCTGCCGTTCAGAGGAAGTATTAGCATTGAGGGGAAGTTTTGACTTTTTCTTCAACATTTCCTGGATGAAATCTGTGGGACAATTTTAAGAAGGCTGTACTTTAGAGCTGTGTGTAGGAGGAACACACACTGTTGCACTTAGTGTTCATTCATCACTCCCACTCCATCCTTCCAACTTCTCTCCAAGACAGCAATGATTTCCAGCTACTTAAAATACTTACATATTTTACTATGCTTACTACAACTGACTAAACATATAATCAACTGTCAGCGGAAATACCTACAAGTAGATAAATTCAGTGTTAACCCTATACTGGAACATCCACATACATGCCATGGGTGAAGACTGTCAGTGAAGGTCCACATAATCAGTAACAATTTCCTACAGTCCAGATTCTCTGCTTAATGTTAATTGCAGCTCCACAGTAGGAGACTTTCTTATCTCTCAACTATACTCAAATGCATTGTTTGCCACTGTCTGTGTCCCCCACTGTCTGTGTCCCCCACTGTCTGTGTCTCCCACTGTCTGTGTCCCAGTCTTAAGGGGAAAACAGAGTTACTAAAAAGTCGTTTTGATGTTTAAGAAGCCAAAGTTCCTGGATGCTAGAAGAAAGGCTATCTTGTGTTCAAGTCTGCAGCAGAGTAATCACATAGAGGGTACAAGATCAAGAACTCAACCCCAGAGACCTCAGGTTAGGGAGGCATGGCTCCCAGGCTGAGAAAACCCAGTCCACTTCTAACATCTCCAACATTTTTATGTGTCTTTCAATAAGATATACCACACACGATGCAACTTTTTTTAAAGACACAGGAAAATTTTTTAAAAAACACAATGGACTTGAAATTAGGAACACTAGGTTTCAATAACTGGGTCAAAATACTGAGGAGACAGACCGGAGAGACATCTCAGTGGTTGAGAGCACCAGCTGCTCTTACAGAAGACCAAGGTTTGGTTCCAAGTACCCACACGGCAGCTACAAATCATCTGTAACTCGTTCCAACACTCTCTTCTGGCCTCCATGGGCACATCACACATGTGGAAGCAAAACATGCAGGCAAAGCACCCATACACATAAGATAAACATAAATACAATATTTTAAAAATATACAGGGGAGCCTGGCATGGTGTCTGCACTCAGGAGGCAGAGGCAAGCAGATGTCTTTGAGCTCAAGGTCAACCTGGTCTACAGAGAAAGTTCCAGGCCAGCAACGGCTACACAGTAAGACCCTGGCTCAAAAGACTAACCTCACCCCTAAAACCATACACAGGAGAAAGATTTTATTCAGTCCGTTGCTCCTCCCCGAGCTTGTAGTCTTTCTAGAGACCCCACCACATTCCTCAGAGCTGTTTTTAAAATTAGGTTAGAAGGCACCCATAAAGTGCATAGCACTGTGCCCCAGATGGTTCACAGTGTTCTATGAGATAGGTATTCCTTCCTGCCCTGTCAGGACACAATTTGAGCAGCCAAGGTGATGCTGTGTGCTCCAGCCTCAGACTCTTCTGTGAATACTGTCCAGAATGGGACTCAAGTCCAGGTTTGGTCCTACATCTTGCTTTCCCTTTTTTCTTCTTCTAAAGACATTATACTTTCTACCTATATCTTTTCTTTCCACTTGACTTTCTTTTTCTCATCAGGGTTAAGCATGTGAGGCAAAGACTACCAGTTAACGGGTTATGACTGTCTTTCCGAAAATTGCTTCTCTCTTCCTAAGCAGTTGTCTGACCTTTCTGGAAGTTGATTTCCTTTATGCTGTCCTCAGATTCCACTTCATAGACACATTATAGCATAGGCATCTGTGTCCTGTTATGTCTTATGTTATGTTGTTATATTATGGTCATTCTCAAGGAAAGCACAAAGTGATAAAGGCAAACAGCAAGGCAGCCACTTACATCTTAGCCTGTGTTAAAATACAGCAATCTTTGTACATTTGTATTGGCTTATAATTTAAGCATACTTTACAAGTTTAAATCATCCAATTCTTGATACAGCTAAGTACATAAAATGCTTGCTTAATAATTTTATCAAAAAATAATAATCAGGAGCCAGGCAGATGGCTCAGTGGCTAAGAGCATAGGCTGCTCTTGCAGAGAATCTGAGTTTGGTTCCCAACACCCACATGGCAGTTAACAATGGTCCATAATTCCAATTCTAGGGGATCTGATGCCCTCTTCTGGCCTTCATAGGCACTGCATGCATATGGCACACACACATTCAGGCAAAACACTCATACATATAAAACTAAAATACATTAAAATGTTATAAATAATAATGAAGTTTTTTTACTCAGCCATAAAAAAGCAAACCTGTCATTTGCAGGAGATCATTGCATTAAGCAAAAACAAAAACAAACCAAAAAAAACCAGATTCAAAAAAACAAACACTGCATGTTTTCTCTCATATATGGAATCTAGATATTTTTTAAAAATATGTAAGACATGAAAGTAGAAGGGGGACTATTTGGAAAGAGGACATAGACCAGTGGGGTAGGATAAGAACATACACTGGGGCATGAGTATGATCAAAGTACATGATATGAACATATGAAAATGTTATAATGAAATCCATTATTTTGTACAATAAACATAAACCAATAGTGAGAAATGAAACCAACCAACTAGAATCAATAAAAATAAAAAACCCATGTGAAAACATTGATCTATAATATAGATATTGATCAATAATACAGATATTGACCTAGTATTTCATTCCTATTTACACACCAGTAGAGTGTGAGCTATGGGTTACTGATCTCACATGAGAGATGAGAAATGCAGATATGACTATAATTCAGGTGTTAAGAGAGAAATATACACAAGAAATAATTGTAAGCTGACAATTTGCCTCTGTAAACAGGAACATAAACTATATTACTTACTAACCACTATGAAAACGGGTGGCAGGTCTATGTATGAGTATCTGCTTTAATTCCTAAGTTATGAAATTTGGCTGCTTTCACCTCCCCATCTTTGTGCCTTTTATTCAATGTATGAGCCATTCTGTATGTATTTTTATTCCAGCAGCCAGGTTTGTCTTAATTAATCTAAGACATATACTGCAACTATATTGAACCCAAAAAATAACTCAGACAATATCATATACTTTACTAATCATTTAAAGAATATTCAGAAGAAAGGTGAGCTTTCCCACTTTTGAAGAACTAAATACCACTTTCTCTGTGAACTTTGGTGCTGGTCCATGGTAACCACACTTCTCCTGCTTTTGTATATACCGCACGTCTGCTGTAACTCCCTCAGCTTCTTGAGGCTTTAAAATTGCTTTGCTTTTTTTTTAAAATTTTTGGTATGCAGCTCAAACCCAGGGCCTTGTGCACTCTAACACTGAGCTACAAGTTTGCCCTGGCTTTGGTCTTGTTTTTCAGAAAATAAAACTGACTGCATCACTGAACTTAAGTGATACAAGAATCCAACTCATACAGACTCTTTTCCTTATGATGGTTCTTTAGGCAATTTAGAACCTACCCTAGAAAACATAGCTCAGACTGAAATACGATGCTTGCTGAGTAACATTAAGAGTCAAATGGCTCTACTCATCTTTCCATGACTTCAGATAGAAAGTTAGGTAGATGTGACCTTTTTTTTTTTTTTTTTTTAAACACCAACATGAGTAACAAGAAAAGCAATTAAATCCATCTAGGATTATCCATCTAGGATAATCTCTTTTGGTTAGGCACAATTGAACAAACCATACCTGTCCTGTGTATGCAAACTCCAGAGCCTGCTTTAAGCCCAGGCTGGTCACACCGTGTAAATTCACCTCATCAGCTCCACTTTCCACCATGCAAAGGCTGAACATGGCCTGAAATGGGGAAAAGAAAAGAAGAGACTGAATTACAGGATCTAAATAGAAAGAGAGAAACAACATGCCAGGGAAACTGGGAAATAAAGGCTTGACAGGTTAAAATTTGATTTGGCTTTCATTTGCACAAGCCTCTGTACCAGTCTGATAGGCAAAGAGTTACAACAACAACACACACAGCACTGTATCTCTCACGTGCAGACTCGTCCCAGGTGCGTGTTCAAGCATACTGAACACATTTTCTTTAATATGGGGTCTAACAGCTACATAAAGTACAGCAGTCCTGAGCATAAATGGCCAGCTAGATGTGAAGAGTCACACTTTCATTTTCTGATTCTTTGTTTTTATGAGTCATTAGTCCTGTTTCTGGACTGTGTCATACAGTCCTGTATCATACACCCTTTGTTTACTTCACGTGCGGTTACCAATGGTCAAACAGAATTTGACAATTTCAACGGGAAATTCTGAAATTAAGCAATCCTGACTTTTAAATTGTGCACAGTTCTGAGTAGCAGGATTAACTCGCCAATGACCCACCCAGGACACGAATCACCCCTTTGTCTACTGTGTCTGCACTGTATGTTCTATCTACCTGTTAGTCACTTAGATGTCACTTCAGCTACCAGATTAACCAGCATGGCATCACAGAGCAGCCAAATGCTACCTCACAATGTCTCCATCAACTGCTTCATTCCATCACATCATGCAGACAATTATATCATCTCATATCACAGGAAAGGTGATTTATGTCCAATAAAATATATTGAGAGGAGCCATAGTCACATTACTTTTATTATACTGTTCTAATTTAGTATTAGGCTTTGTTATTAAACTTACTATACATAACTTATAAATCAAACTTTTTCAAATTTTGTTTATATCAGAAAAAAATGTAAAAATACACAGGGTTTAACACTATATGTGATTTTAGGCATTTGCTTAAAGATCTTTGAATATATTCCATACTGATAAGGGAGGGCTAATTTATATATAAACGAAATTAAACCAGTACCTCAAAGGGAAATCAGCATATCCATGTTCACTGTAGCATTATTCATAGCAGTCACAGTACAGAGACAACTTAAAAATTCATTAGATGAATAGATATGCCGAATAAAGAGAATACATATATGCAGGCATCTCTGTATAAGAAATTATTCATGAGGTTGGAGAGATGGCTCAGCGGTTAAGAGCACTGACTGCTCTTGTAGAGGTCCCAAGCTCAATTCCCAGCACCCACGTGGTGACTAACAACTGTCCATAACTCCAGTTCCAGGGGATCCAACACAGGCACTGCACGACTGGGGTACACTTACATACATGCAGGCAATACAGTCAAACATAAAAACTAGAGAAATAAAATATTTATTTAATAAAGAAATTATTCATCCCCAGAACAGGAGGAAATCTTCTCATTTCCAACAACATAGGTGAACCTGAAGGACTGTGTTAAGTCAGAAAAGCCAAAGGCAAAGAACGAGATCTCACTCCTAAGCAGACTCTCTAATAGCCAGTTTGGGTGTAGAAGGATGAACAGTGTTTGCCAAGGGCTGGGATGAGGAGGAATGGGGAGCTATCAGCCAAAGAGTAGTTTCACTTACAAAAGATGGAAAAGTTCTGCAGATATGATACACAGCAATGTGACTAATCACTAACAATGGTGTGTTGTATCATTAAAATTTACCAGAAATTTAAATGTTCTCACTAGCAGAGAGAGAGATTAGAGAGCAAAAAAGGAAGAGATAAGAAGGTAGAGAGGAAAGAGGGGAGATAGAGAGAACAATGGTAACTATGAGGTGATGAATACGTTAATTAGTGTACTGTCATTATCCCACAATGTATACATATATGGAAACCTCACGTTCTACACTTGAAATATATGTATAAATGTTGTCAATTTTATTTCAATAAAACTGAAAAGAGAACCTTATGTTTGAAGTCACATTATCCTCAATGTTGTGGGGCATAATGCACAAGGACCAACTGGTAACTCTCAAGCTCCGGGTGTGGATACTGGAACGTGAGTGTGAGCAGACAGAACATCCCTGAGTCAGCTTTCTTATCTGAGAAGTTGGGCTAAAAATTGCATCCATTTTATGGAGTATGAAGAAATGGCTCCTTATAAGAGTGCACACTGCTCTTGGAGAAGACCCAAGTTTGGTTCCCAGCACATAAGTTGGTAAGCACATAACTGTGGGCACATGCATTCACATAAGCACATACCCGGAGACACATACTTATACACATAAGTAAAAATAAAACAATTTTTAAAAAGTTACACTCAGGGTTAAAGACATGGCTTGGTGGTTAAGAGCACTGATTTCTCTTGCAGAGGACCTGGGTTTGGTTCCCACATGGTAGCTAATAACCATCCTTAACTCTGGTTCCAAGGGATCTCTCTCTCCTGGCCTCTGCTGGCATTGCACACACATGCTGTTCTGATACACTTGCAGGTAAAACACTCATACACATAAAATAAAAATAAATAAATAACTCTAAAATACAATAGAAATTATATTCATTTTATGAACTGGCAGATTACATACCAGCAGTGCATAAAAAATATTCAGAATACTGCTTTAGATGCGACAAGCTCTTAGTAAAATTTATGTCTTATAATAACAAAGAAATGACATGAAGTCTCTATGCCATATTCTCTAGGGAACAGAATACATCAGGAGAGCACTGATGATCATCTGTAGCTAGAAATAAAACAGCTAACAGGAAATTGCCTTTAGAATTAGTGGATTTGTTATGTATTTGTAGAAGACAGCCTGAAAACTCAAAACAAAACAATGCAGGGCACAGTATAAAAAATATTATAATCTGGATTGGAGAGATGGTTCAGCAGGTAAGAGCACTGGCTGCTCTTACAGAGGACCAGGGTTCAGATCCCAGCTCCCAAATGGAGACTAACTACAATCTGTAACTCCATTTCCAAGGTATCCTACGCCCTCTTCTGACCTCCACACAGGTGCACTTACATACATTCAGGCAATACACTTATACACATAAAATAATAAAGAAAATATTCTTTTTAAAAAATATTATAATATGTGTAACTCTGACTTTGCTTATGGCCACTATGAATAAAGTCAGACAGAAACTGCAGTCATTTTCAACATCTACTTCTTATTGTAGGAGTGGCTAAGTTTGTAATATTCACTACAGCAATTTCTTTTTCCAGATCTTCTAATCTGTGACTGTGTCTGATGTGGCCAGCCATTCTCTGCATATTACAGGTTCAGGGAAGGATAAAAATGGCTCAAACTACAAAGGAATTATCTGCGTTAATGAAATAGAAATACTTCCAAGGAGCAAAGATTAAAGAAACAAAACAGTCTGCCAGGCGAGTTTTGAAAATCTGCTCTCCTGGAGACTTTCCGAGTGGGTTAATACTGAAATAGAACAGGTATCTTCAATTATAGGGTTGTGAGTCACTAACTTGAAGCTTGGCTTAAAGGAATTGAGGAAAAGTCACAGTTCCTTATATAATGTACATTACATTTGCCCATGTTTGTGTTAGGAGACTGGTAACTGTTTTTAAACCGATACAACAAAATAATTTTCTATAATTGTGTTTTGCAGAGGCAAAAAGAGATTCTTAATTTATCTCATTTATATATTATTTGGATCATTAAAATGAATATATATTGTTTGTATAAATCAAACTGCCCTTAAAGAAAACTTTGTTTTACTTTTAAAAGTAAAATATGTTCAAATCTGTGGAAGAACATGTGGTTCAAATCCATATTCTAAAACCTACTGATCATGTGTACAGCTGATTTGGACATGGGACCTTTGGCTAATTTGTTAACATTTCTGAACCCTGGGCCCTTTATTTGTAAAATGGGGATAATGCTATTCTCACAAGTTTGTCTAAGGTATATTTACAATTATGATTGTGAAGCATAATACCTGGCCCATAATAGATGTTCAATAAATAATAAATTATAATAAATTGCTGTTATAATCCAGGTGGATTATCCTATGCTCCAATATGTCCCTTTCATTTTAACTGAAGTGAGAGCCAAGAAATAGTGTCCCCCCCCCCCAACACCAGTTCCCTCTGGCCGCAGGATTTCATTTGGCCACTTTTTCCTATGGAATGAACCCATCATAAAAACCATCACCATTATGTCTATAAACATGGAATCTCTACTTTGACATGAAACTATATTGCCTTAGAAATTTAGTTAGCTATGTTGGCAGCTGCCTATGATCCCAACACTTGGGAGGCAGAGGCAACAGGATCACTGCAAACTCAAGGCCAGCCTGATCTAGACAGTGAGTTCCAGGAAACCCAGAGCACATAGTGAGACCATGTCTCAAAAAGGCTGTCCCTGAGAGAGAGAGAGAGAGAGAGAGAGAGAGAGAGAGAGAGAGAATAATTTAATGTTGTACAAATTAGATAAAGATAAAATATGTGATTATTAAAGGTCAATGCTTTGCAAATAATAAATTTACAAAGGAAGTAATGGATAACGCTGACGTGAAGAAGAACTCAGTGAAACTCAGCTGCCACTAACTGAGGGTGTGAAACAGTGTGGAGACATTAGCTAGGACCTGTGAATAAACACAGGTAAATGAACAAGTCAAGATGTTTTTTAAAAAACATATGTACAAGCCCAGTGTGATGGTGAATGCCTTTAGTCCCAGTACTCAGGAGGCAGAGGCAGGTGGATCTCTGTGAGTTCAAGGCTAGCCTGGTCTACACAGTGAGTTCCAGGCCAGCTGAGGCTACAGGGAGACCCTGTCTCAAAAAGATAAAAACAATAAATAAATAAATAAATAAATAAACACAAATCTTCCACTGTTCTAAAGTGTCATAAACAAGGAAAATTTGTTCTAAGAAAATATCCTTACATGCTAAATATGGAAACATAAAAATTAGTTGTTAAAGGGAAAGTGCATCTACCATAAGCTAAACACATCAGAAACACAAGTGAATTCAAAGCTAGATTTTTAGGGAAAAAAACACAAAAGAACACATGGCAGCA